AATTTCTTAGCTAGCATTGCCTTTCAAGGGATTTCTTCAACTACAAATCTCGAGATATCGATTTTGTTACAACAGATTTTAGGAAGTATCATTCTCAATGAAACAGCGAAGACAAAAAGTGTGAAAATTTATTAATTGCACGCCAAAGGATATCATGTCAACAAAAACATTGAAGGAACTTTGTGCGAGTCGACGATTTTCTTTTGTTTTTGGGTGCGAGTTATCTGGCAGTGCAGGTAATCTTTTGAAATGTTTTTCTCGTTATTGCAAAAATTGACGGATGCGGTTAATCTGCCGTGCGGGTAAATGGACGGAAATTACGGTAATTCCTTTCCACGTTTTTTTCATATTAGTCAAGTTAGAGTCAAAAAAATGTAAATGGTATTGTTGTTTACTTACGTGTTCGGCTACAAATTTTGTTTCTACAAGTTCTGTACTTAGAGACATCACCAGATGCATATAATTTGTTTTTAATCTCAATGGAGGTGCGTAAGCCTTGAGTTATCCATGGTTTGGAGAGCTGTTTTGCTTTACGATTTGAAATTGTCTTCATAGGTGCTTGTTTGTTGACAAGCTTATTAAACTTGTTATAAAAAGAAGAGAACAAATCATTCACATCGCACAATTTCCTTTCAACAATAGCATTCCAGTACACTTGGGAAAGTTCGGCATTGAAACAATCAGCAGAAAACTGTGAGAAGTTTCGCACTTTAAATTTGTTAACCGTTACTTTATCCTTCACAGATTTTAAGATGCAAAATTTCGAGGAATGATCTCTAATATCAGATACTATAATGATTTTAGATATATGAAATTCATATATCTGCACTGCGGTGAAGAGACGAATATAAGAGGTCCTCGCAGCTAAGAACACTACTTGAACTAGTAGTTGAAAGTAAGACCTGAAAAAAATTCAGGCCTGTACGGGTCAACATATTGACCAGCTGCTAGTTGGCTTTGTTAGCTCAGTTGGTAGAGCGCTGCACCGGTATCGCAAAGGTCCTGGGTTCAAATCCCGTACTGGCCTGAATTTTTTTCAGGTCTTACTTTCAACTACGAATTCAGTAGTGTTCTTAGCTGCGAGAATCTCTTATATCCATCTCTTCACCGCAGTGCAAATATATGAATTTCATATATCTAAAATCATTATTCATCACTTGGATGGTTTATTTGGACCCAACATATTAACCAGCTCTCAGTTGGCTTTGTTAGTTCAGTTGGTAGAGCGCTGCACCGGTATCGCAGAGGTCATGGGTTCAAATCCCGTACTGGCCTGAATTTTTTTTAGGTCTTACTTTCAACTACTAATTTAGTAGTGTTCTTTGCTGCGAGGATCTCTTATATCTGTCTCTTCACCGCAGTGCAAATATATGAATTCCATATATCTAAAATCATTATTCATCACTTGGATGGTTTATTTGGACCTAACATATTATCCAGCTCTCAGTTGGCTTGTTAGCTCAGTTGGTACAGCGCTGCACCGGTATCGCAGAGGTCCTAGGTTCAAATCCCGTACTGGCCTGAATTTTTTTCAGTTCTTATTAAAACTAACTGTTGTTGTTGACCCGTACAGGCCTGAATTTTTTTCAGGTCTTACTTTCAGCTACTAGTTCAAGTAGTGTTCTTAGCTGCGAGGACCTCTTATATCCGTCTCTTCACCGCAGTGCAAATATATGAATTTCATATATCTAAAATCATTATAGTATCTGATATTAGTGATCATTCCTTGCAGTTTTGCATCTTAAAATTTGTGAAGGTTAAAGTAAAGGTTAACCAGTGTTCTAATCTTCATGTCAAGTGCAGTTCTCTACCGCAGAAAAAGCAAACAATATCATTAGTCTCGATGTTTCTGTTGAATTTATCATAAATTTGCCTCAAAATCCTAACCACTTCTTATAGTATTTCTGAAATTGTGGGAAGCAAATACACGGTCGATGGTGTTACATTTTATAGGTAAACAAAACATGACAATCAGAACAAAAATCATACAATGGAATGAATCAAGAACAAGCTGTTCACCATACAACACTAATTTCTGGTTACCATGTATCTGCGGCAAAAAACCATGTATCATCGGAAAAACTAAGAGAACTTCATTGCATTCGCTTTCACTCGTCTTCAATGCTTCACAATACTTTGGAATGGAAGTCCAATGTAAATTTTAAATGTTCGTCGAAAATTACAGTTTCAAGGCAACTGTTTTCATACTAATAATGTCGCGAACATTACACTAGCTGAGCAAAAAACCACGTTACTGAAGAGTTCAGAATAATGTTGGGTCGCACTTAAGGAGGAAACTATGCGCTGTGAAGCACACCATACTCGGCGAAAGACACCAAGTACTCTCGATCTGCCTTTCCCGGTTCTCTAATACACAATCAATTCTACTTACATCCAATTTTATCCCACTCTGTGGAACTCTGGTTAATTTCTTCGACTCTTACAATTTGATTATCTCTGAATACTTTTTACTGACCTCTCCCTGATTTGTGCTGCGCATGCTACAAAATGAACTATGAAGTACATGCTTATATAGTCACTCTAAATAGGCATGGGCGGGCATGCCAATCAACTGGCCTTAATTGGTTATTTTAGACTACGACGTCTACAAAGTAGACAATGACTCAAGCATGGCGAATCTATATCGGGTCACTTAACGCAAAGAATTCTGACATTTTTCGCTCATAAATTGTATATTTAGTTTTTCTTTATAAAAAATGTTAAATAAAAATGTTAGAGAATACTCGAAGATCAGATTTCAAAATACTTAAAAGTACATTTTGGCTATAACTATCATTTTTTTCTACTTTCAGAATAAGCTGGCTCCAACTGCCCTGCAACTAGGCGCGTTCTAAAATAGACGAAATGAATGGCAGTCAGAAATTTTCACAGAATTTCCACCGAAAGGTTCTTTCAAACTTCTTATGATTATGAGATGTTTGTGAATGAAAGTGATCATCGCAGTAATGTGCAGTACTTTAGCAGTAGTGAAAGTAAGGCCTGAAAACAATTCAGGCATGTACGGGATTTGAACCCATGACCTCTGCGATACCGGTGCAGTGCTCTACCAACTGAGCTAACAAGGCAACCGGGAGCTGGTCATTATGTTGGTTCCAAATAAACCCGTGAAGTGATGAATAGCTCCCAGTTGGCTTGTTAGCTCAGTTGGTTGAGCAATGCACCGGTATCGCAGAGGTCATGGGTTCAAGTAGTGTTTATCACTGCGAGGATCGCTTTCATTCACGTCTTTATCCGCAGTTCAAATATATGACTTTCATATATTAACATTTAGTGGACAAATTCTCCGTGCCGTGCAGCCTATAATATCGCTCGGTTGTCGACACTTTGAACGCTTCTGATCAGATTGTCGGGCACGGACCAAAAGCCCGGCGGTCAGAATTTTTCAAAGTGCCACTAAATGGTTCCATTCTCTGTTCTCCATTGATCAAAATGTTAGATAAAAGTAGTACAGAATACTTGACGATAAGATTTTTAGAGTGGTCGTCTGTAAAAATCGAGCAGAGGTGTTGAAAAGAAAAAAGTCTCCATGAACGCAAGTATGAACCAATTGTTTTAAAACAACGTAAACGCAGTTGTTTATATATTGTTTTCTTGCAATTTAAAAAGTTTAGGAAAAGACGGCGCTCCATGTGTTGTAAAATATTTCCACGCAAAAACTCATGACGAGCTTTGAACACCAAAAGAATTCGGTCCTCCACCATCTACTCGAGGCGTTAACTCCTGTCAGTTATACTTATGGCTTTATTGACTTTTGTTGGATAAAATCAATTAACACGTTTAATATACAAAATATTAATTAGCACGTTTCATTAAATAATAACCCGCTGCAGATCTTGCAATGGGATATTTCACAACATCTGCGGACTTTGCAGGCGAGCAACGTGTTTTTCCACCCCAGAAAAAAACTCAAATGAAGTAAAATAATGAAAAGAAAATTTTTTTTTGATTTTCTCTGCCGTTTTTTTCTTGTCAGTATTAAACAAGGTGTTGCGAATACCAAAAACACCAGGCTGTCCTTCGTTAACCTCACGGTTTTTTATTTTCCTTATTCACTGTTTTTTGATCACGTACCGATTTTCTTTTTATCACTGACGTGCGACACACCCTAAATCCTAGACAACGACGATATATGGGCTGATTAATTGATTCTATTGTCTAGATTGAAATCGCAAGAAAAGAGATCACATAACGCTAATCACTTATCTAAATGTCACACAATACAGCTGAATTATCTCGACACACTCCCCTATTTGCTTCTGTCACGGGAGCAAATACAATTCAAGTAAAGTTATTAAATTTCTTCCGATTGAAACCTAGTAGACGGAAATCAGTGTTCAAATTATCAGTTAATGTTCCTCTTTCTAAACAATCTAAATTGAGTATTCAAATAAACAATGTTTCTTAGTCGTCTTGGTCACGTTCAGCAATATTTTGGACTAGTAGTCTGGCTGCGACTGCGGTATCCCGCTTTTGTCTGAAGGCACGCACTTCAGGATTCAGTGGAGGTTTCGGCACTTCCCGAGGCTTGTCACAGGACAGCTCCAGTGGATATAACTGCTGTACTGCTCTCTCCAGATAGCTCTTGCCTGCTCGAAGCTTCACAGCTCTAACGACTCCGTCACGTCCCGCAATCAGCTCTTCCACTATCCCAAGCTTCCACTTATTTCTGTCTTTGTTGTCGTCTTTGATAACGCACACATCTCCCTTCTCAACCCCACAAGGGGAATCTTTATGTTTTACGGCGTGACGTTCTCGCAGCCCACGAAGGTACTCTTTCGTCCAGCGGTTCCCAATCGCATCTTTGCATTTTCTCAGGTATTTCGCTCGCCGTCTAAGTTGTAGGTTCTCTTCATAGTGTACCTCCCTATCAGGTAGACTATTTGGTTGGCTGAAGAGCATAGAATTCGGTGTCAAGACCGGTAATTGTGCGTCGTCTTCAACATAGCTCAGTGGGCGACCATTCAAGGCTATTTCTACGTCTAGAAAGACTTTTTTAGCTCCTCAAAGCTGAGACAGGCGTTGCCGATGGTTTTCCTCACTGCTGTTTTGACCAGCCCTATCATGCGCTCGAACTGGCCTCCCCACCAGGGGGCTCGGCCTAGGTTAAACTTCCTTGTGATTTGGTGACGTGCAAGGAAATCATTTGGCTTCTCGTCGTTCTGCACTTGCTTAATCCAAGCTACGGCTCCAATGAAAGTACTGCCGTTGTCTAAATATATCGCAGTTGGTCTGCCACGCCTTGCTATTAATCCTTTCAGGCTTAGAAGGAATTCACCGGTCTGCAAACTTCTCGCCAGGTCGAGGTACAGTGCCCTTGTCAGACTGCAGGCATACAGAATAAGGTAGGCTTTTCCTTCACGTCTTTCAGTGGCTTTAAACTTGATTGGGCCAGCATAGTCGACCCCCACAACTTGAAAGGGAGTGGATCCTTCAGCTCGATCTCGCGGTAGCAGTCCAGGAGGCGGTACAGCAAGGGCTGCGGCCTGGAATCGTTTGCATCCTGGGCATTTTTTCACGATACGCTTCACTAGTCGTCTTAGGCGCGGTACCCAGTGCCGTTCTCGTACTTTCGCCATTGTCAACTGCGTCCCTCCGTGTAGAGTAGATTCATGAGCTTCTTCCACGAACTTCTCTGTGTAGACTGCTGTATCTGGGAGATACACTGGGTAGACGCCCTGTATCCTTCTCCGGCATTCAAGGAGTTGTTGGTCGTTTAGCGTAGGTTAAGCTGCGAGCGGTCGTTTTCATAAGCCTTCGATTTCACGCCTTCCTGCTGCGCTCTCTTCTCCCAGAATCTTCTTTGAATGCTTACTTCTTCGGTGGTTAGTGGCCCTGTTTTCCTTTCACGAGGTGGACGCCTTGTACTATGGACAAATCTCGCGACCCATCCACCGATGCGCAACACGCGCCAGAGACCATACTTGTTAAGAAGTGAATCAAATCCATCCACGTCTTGGTCGGTAGCGAGCTTGAATATCTCTCGTACCGTCTTTGTTTCAGCTAGTGTTTCAACAGTGGCGGTTGTGGTTATGTCCATTGGCCAAGCACTTGGGTGTGAGAGCCATTTCGGACCATGCCACCATAGGTCCCCGTCTTGTGGTACAGGCCCTCCCCGACTTCCAAGGTCTGCTGGATTCTCTTTGGTGGGCACATATCTCCACGTTATCCAATTCTTACCTCGAATTTTGCACACCCGGTTGTACACAAACTGCTTGTATTCCCCTTCTCCTCTTATCCAGTGGAGCATAACTGTACAGTCTGACCAACAGTAAACTTGGTCGACCGGATATCCTTCCAGGGCTTCTCTCACGTTAGTGGCCATATTAGTTGCCATTTGACAAGCGACCAACTCCAGGCGTGGTATGGTGAGGCCTTGTTTGGCCAATCGAGCTTTAGCTGCCACGATGCCTTGTGTGACACATGATGGTTGCGACACAACAGTGAACGCTGCTGCTGCCACGCCCACACCACTTGCATCTCCAAAGACATGTAAGGATATACTGTTGATTGGTCCCTGATACTGAACCAGGGCCCTCATGAATGTAATTCTCTCAGGTGATCTTGATTCCCATTTGGCCCACTTGGCGACTAGGTCAGAAGGCAATTGTTAATCCCAACCGATTCTAAGGTTGCAGGCGTCACGATATAGTAGCTTTCCACATAGTGTGAGGGGAGACGCCACTCCGATTGGATCGTAAATCCTCGCTATTTTAGCCAATATTCCCCTCTTAGTGTTGTCGGCTTTCTCAGTCGGCACGGTAACGCTTAGGACGTCTTTCAGCTTATCCCACTTTAGGCCAAGCAGTGAGCTCTCTCCCCTGGACGAGGTTCTCAGTTGCTGTTTGGCAAACGTCTGGTCTGCACTCTGATCGGTTTCAGTGGATTCCAACTCAGTAACGTTTGAATGCCATTTATGGAGTTCGAAGGCGGCGTCAGCAAAAATCTCTGTGGCGGCATTTTTCATCTCTCTTGCTTTGGGTACTGTCGTCCCTCCACTTATCAGGTCATCCACGTACATATTTTTCTTTATCTCGCGTACTATTTCAGGCTGCTTGGAGCTCCAGGTATTCAAATGCTGCTCAAAGACCCCTCCTAACAAGAAGGGTGAGGGACCCGAACCGAACAGAGCTCTTGTAAAGCTCTTGTTCGGTGGTGCTGATTCTGCGGCATTCACTGTTTCCTAGGATGACGTGCACAGGTAGGCAGGGTCTCTCGTCGTTGTCATCCATGGTCCCGCCCTTTAGATGAGGGTGTTTCTCTACGAGCTTCTTGTAGCGAGGGTTGTCTATCATCATGAGGTGCGGTTTCTCTACTTTAGTGACTTCTGCTTCCATCTCAAAGTTTCCCCTCACTGAGTTAAGTTTGACCCGATAAACTTCCATCACCCGACTGCTCGCGCCCAGCATCATCTCAATCTTGCGCAACCCAGAATGATGAGGTTTTGCACCAATTCTTGCAAGCAGTGCTGCAGAGGCGTACGAAGTTCCTGCGCCAGAATCTAGAATGGCACGACATTTTATTCCTGCAACTTCCACGACAACCATCGGGTATACCACAGGACCATCGCCAATTTGTGTAGCTGTCATGGAGCTGTCTGCGTTTCCTCTGTCACAGATTGAGGTGTGGTGTCTTCTTTTGCAAAACAAACACGTTTTTCTGCTCTTGCATCCATCGCCCTGTGATCATCTTCGGCACAGTTGTCACTCTCAGGGGTTAAAGGGTTAAATAGCAAACGATAGGATGCATTCCATGTCATTTGTGAGATTTACTTTGTAAAGTACCGTACGTACTAGGTTTCAAAATTTGTCTGCTCTGCCAAAAATCTTGTTAAGTTTTGTCTCCGCCAAATTATAAATTTTTTAATTACATATGCACTTGAAAACATCAAAATATTTGATAACCACAGAGTCTACTTTGAAATCAAACACCTTCCTTTAGATTCCGTTCTCATGAAAGCCTTCGGCATATATGTTTACATGCAACTGTCAATTCTTGAGAGAAAATGTTGCCACGTCATGTAATTATATATTTTTGGTCCTTCATGGTGGTTATAGTCTTCGCCGTTCTCCATCGTTGTCTACATAGCTCGATTGCGAGAAAGAGTGAGCTATTGTGGAATATTTCCCAAGTTTCAGATCTGTGCGAAATGTCGCTGGTGAGTTATAAGCCAAAACGTCTGACATAAATTTCTAACGCTTAGCTTAAGAACGCCAAATTGGTGCCCATGCAAGGGGTATCAACAAGGCGGCCATGAAGTAATGCAAACATTTGCTGTCTTGTTCCGCTTCTAAAGTGATTAGTTATCGATTTTGAAATTGCTAACATTCATCTAAACACGTTTTCTAATCTTTCTTATGCTCAGGGAATAAAACATCACACAATAGCTCATATTTTACAGATTTCCGATTTCGAGCGAGGAAAAACCGAAATTAGAAATGACCGTGTTTTCAAAATAGAGGATTCCTCGATGCTGAAACCTTTCTTAAGGTTTAGAGGGTCTTTCGTCTTTCGGAGGTAAACTGTAATATCCCTTCTTATTTTGGATTTTTATAACGGAAGTCAAGTAAAAACCATAGGTTGTGTTAGATTTGTGCTTTGAAAACAGGTTTTAAGTTTGTGTTGAATGTTTCAGCCAATTCTATGACCATTGAGTTGTTCAGTAGACAAGCAGTTTCTTCTCCGTCTTAACCCTAAATTTCTCGAGTCCCGGTACTTATCGGTTCCACCTTAAAAGCTGTTTTTCATTGCTGTGTTTAAATCCAGGAAAAAGGCATCAGTAGTTTCGGAATTAGTACAATGAAAAATAGATGGCTGCGGGCTCGCCGCTCACCGGCACATGCAAAAACATAAGTACAACATCAGGGGAATGCAGTTTGAGCAGTTTGATTTATTTCATATACTTGCTTTTGATTTAACATCAAAACATCACAACAGCATTATAACTGATGTTTTAAGTCAGCTAAAACAATGATTTCCTAGTATTGCCTAGACGAGTTAGGCTTAACTGCCATGGGATACATTTCTTAGTTCTTCAAAACTTTGTAAACGAACTTCCAGCATTCACTGGGCAGGTCCTCGGCTGCATAGAAAGGTGAAGACTCTTTGGACGTGCACATCCATTCGCCTGCTTTCTCCAGCTCCGTCATCATCTCTTGATAGTGTTCTAATTCCTTTTTCATTATGTTGAAACAGAGGACGCCATCTGCAAAGAAGTTAACAGCAGAATTTAGTGTGGATCTTGTAAGGGTTTATCGGGGGAAATTTCCATCCTTTTTCCTATTTGTCCATGTATTTATTAGATTTAACTCGCAGAGCTGGTTAATCCTTTCACTCCTAAGATCTCTTTAGTAATTCTCTTAAGTGTCTGTCATACAATTCCCTATAGTGTTAGTTAGGAGAATTTGGTGTTGGATTAACCAAGAACACCCTAATTGACATCTTCTTTTTTTTTTTTTCCCATTACTTGTTTGTTTGATATCGTATTGATACTGTAAGGAGAAATTCTGTCTCGGTAACTCATAGGAGTTAAGGGGTCAACCTATAACCTGTAATATCATCCTAAGAGAAGTTGAAGGAACCAGCTTAAGGGCGTGCTCTTGATATATCAAGAAATTCTTTTAAACGAATTTGCAGAGAGAAGATTTGACCCCAGAAGATGATTTACGGAATTTATCAAGAAGGGTGTTAGATGAGTCTTCACTACCTGATCTATCTCACGGTTTGAGTTTTCAAAAAAACAAAAACAACCAAGCAAAAAATTTGCTAGAGGATTTTACACGTTTTTCTTTTTTTACAATCCTGATAAGTCCTCGATCTAAAATCATCCTTTTTTCATTTTTGTTAAAAAACATTATTATTTCCTAAAAGGTTTATCAAAGTATGATGCTTAAAGGCCAGTGTCTGTTCTTGTTGTAGTTGTTTTTTTAAACAGCGTTTGAAAGATTCAAGACAATGTGAGCAAATTTGTTCAATCACAGATGCTTAGGAACCGCGACCAAATAATTGTTTTTGTGTCAAGTCCAACAATTAGCCACAGAACAGACTCCCCGCAGACATCCATGGGTCAATTATATCTGTGCCTCGGTAAACTCCTAGGAAAGACCTACCAGTTTGAACCATTCTTATCATCTCCACGAAAGCAGATGAGGCGATACGTCCTGTAATGAGCGCCCCACCACAAATCAAAGCATCGAATTGCCCTGATTTAATCTGAGGTATCGGTTGCCCATTCAAAGACGTGCAGATGAACTCAATATAGACCTCTTTCTTCTTTGCTTCCTCTAACATCTCAGCTGAGATGTCCAGAGCACATAGGTTGGTGTATCCGAGTTTCTTGAGCTCAACTCCAATCAGCCCTGTCCCAGCTCCAGCGTCGATGATTTTGATCTGATCCTTTGCCTTGTTCTGGTAAACTTCGCTAAGGGTTTCATGCAAAGATTCGGCCAGTGGCTTGAAATATATAGCGCGCGCCGCTGAATGTTCCTACATGATGAGAAAATCCAAGCCGGTTATTAAGATAAGATGTTCGATAATTACGGCACTAGTCTAGTGTCGCCTCAGGCCCCTTTTCGTCGAGAGCTTCAGTAACTTTACGGACCCGAAAAGCTGATCTGTTTTCAATCAAAATCGAGATTTCTCCTTAAAAAAATTGAACTTAAACAAAGGAAATATCGGGGAACAAGGTATAATTAACTAGTTTTTAAGCTAAGGTACATTAAAAAAGTACTCAGTTCTGATTGGTTAAGATAAATGAAGTTTTCAGGTAATTCAATGCAGAAGAGGGTTAATTCAGTGCAAAGAAGTAGCAAACCAGACCTAACAATTCCTTCAACTGTTTAGCCGGATATTGAACTTTTTTGCCCCTTAAAGATGTGAAAATATCGTTGTATATTATTGTTTTGATCGTTCGCGGTTGTTTTGACCGAACGCACAATGTCGCTTGCAGGGTTTGAATAAATTATTTTTGCACTTGGTGCGCGCACTTTGCTGGAACATTCGAATGATGGATCAGGTGTCCGGCGGTTCAAACGGCAATGTGCCACATCGTCCCCCCGACCCATATTATTATTATTTTACTATTTTAGAGTACCTCGTCATATGTTGCTGACCGTGCAGCATAGATACGTTTGATTTCATCTTCGGTTGTTTCTTTAGTTACTTTTGCTGTTGCTTCTCCGAAATACTTCATTAAGCTTGCTTTCAACTGTATCTCATCCATTCTATATAGAGGAACAAAATACAAAATGTCATAGACACTTGTCAGGTGATGGCTTTCATTATGTGAAGTACGGTGCTTTGTGATTTCCAGCCCTGAGAAAAGCCTTAACAGAACACGTAAAATTACGGTAATTTTTTCAGTTTTACATGTGATTGTTATCGCCAATCAGCTGCTAACACGTCAATCGCCTTTTGCACCACTCTGTAAGGTTGATGATTGACTGGTAAAGCGATCCCTGGAAACGAGGTTGACGAAAACAATTCATTTCCCATCCACGTTCCTAGCCAAGCTGTTCTTTGAGTAACAAGTTGAAAAAATTCATAGCTTAGCTTTCTACTTGGCAACGAGCATGAATAACTGCAGTGATTTACAGAGTTAAATGTTCTGAATAATACAAAGTACAAAGTTGAATTTAAAGTGTGTAACAAAATTCTGATTGGACGAAAAAAACAATAGTAACAGAATAATGTATGCATCTACAAGGAAAGTTTTAAATTAACATGATAAAGTTAATGATTAAGTGTAGGTTTCTCCCACTGAATTTGGATAGCTTCTTTGATTTTAAGTTGAAAAGTTGTGGAAGCGTGATCTAAGATAATAAAACACTCATCAGAACAAAGAGTGCGACATTGTGGAGAATTATGTTGATGTCTCAAAATGTGAGAGGTCCTATCAGCATTTTGTTACACACTTTGAATTCAACTTTGTACATTGTATTATTCATAACAGAAGATCATTGAAGAACACGTTTTTAAAGAGTTGAATGTCCTTTATAAGACAACTAAAGCCTATCGTTTCGTCAAGTGCAGTAATTTGCCGCAGACAAAACAAACCTTATCATTGGTAACAATGTTCCAATTGAATTTATCTTAAATTTGTCTCAAAATCCTTACCACTTCTCATAGTAGTTTCGAAATTGTGGGAAACAAATACACGGTAGATGGTGTTAGATTTTCAAGGTGAACAAAACATGACAATCAGAAGAGCAATCATACAACGGAATGAATCAAGAACAAGCTGTTCACCATACAACACTAATTTCTGGTTACCATGTATCCGCGGCAAAAAACAATGTATCATCGGAAAAACCAAAAGAACTTAATTGCATTTGCTTTCAGTCGTCTTTAATACTTCACAATACTTTGGAATGGAAGTCCAATTCAAATTTTAAATGTTCATCGAAAATAAAGTTTCAAAGCTATTATTTCCATACTAATGATGTTGCAAACATTACATTAGCTGAGCAAAAAAAAATACCTCACTGAAGAGTTCAGAATAATGTTGAGTCGCACTTAAGGAGAAAACTATGCGCTTTGAAGCCCACCATACTCAGCAAAAAGCACTAAGTACTCTCGATCTGCCTTTCTCGGTTCTCCAAAACAGAATCAATTCTACTTACATCCAATTTGTCCCACTCTGTGGAACTGTGGTTAATTTCTTCGACTCTTACAATTTGATTCTATCTGAATACTTTTTACTGACCTCTCCCTGAATTGTGCTTGTGATTTGTTCATCGAAATTACAGTTTCAAGGCTACTATGCCTACCAATGATGTTGCGAACATTACATTAGCTGAGCAAAAAAACATACGTTACTGAAGAGTTCAGAATAATGTTGGGTCGCACTTAAGGAGGAAACTATGCGCTGTGAAGCCCACCATACTCAGCAAAAAGCACGAAGTACTCTCGATCTGCCTTTCTCGGTTCTCTAATACACAATAAATTCTACTTACATCCAATTTTTCCCCAGTCTGTGGAACTCTGGTTAATTTCTTCGACTCTTACAATTTGATTATCTCTGAAAACCTTTTACTGACCTCTCCCTGATTTGTGCTGCGCATGCTACTAAATGAACTATGAAGTACATGCTTATATAGTCACTATAGATAGGCATGGACGGGCATGTCACTCAACTGGCCTTGAATGGTTATTTTAGACCATGACGTCTACTACTTTTATCTAACATTTTTATCAAAATGGTAGAAAAAAATTAATACAGAATACTTGGTGATCAGATAACAAAATCGGTTTGCACATTTGACGTTTAACAAAGTGCTAATCGAAAACTACGACTATAAGGCGAGACAAATATTACAATTGGATATTTTGTGGCAAAAGCTTTATTTAAAGAAAAAATAAATATACCATTTATGAGCGAAAAATGTCAGAATTCTTTGCGTTTAAGCGACCCGCGTAATAGATTCGCCATGCTTGAGTTATTGTCTACTTTATTAGAGAATACTCGAAGATCAGATTTCAAAATACTTAAAAGTACATTTTGGCTATAACTATCATTTTTTCTACTTTCAGAATACGCTGTCTCTAAATGCCCTGCAACTAGGCGCGTTCTAGAATAGACGAAATGAATGGCAGTCAGAAATTTTCATAGAATTTCCAACGAAAGGTTCCTTCAAACATGTTAAGAATATCAGATGTTCATTTAGAAATGTCAAAGATTAATTTGGCTGTTACTGGACAAATCCCCGTACCGTGCAGCCTATAATATCGCTCGGTTGTCGACACTTTGTTCGCTTCTAATCAGATTGCTGGGCACGGACCAAATGCCCGGCGGTCAGAAAAGTGCTTCTAAGTGGTTCCATTCTCCATTTGCCATTGATTTAAATGTTAGATAAAAATAGTACAGAATACTTGGCGATAAGATTTTAAAATACTCAAAAGTACATTTTGGCTAAAACCATCATTTGTTTTAGTTTATTGTTCCTTAGAGCTTTTTTTTTAAAAACTCGATTTAGTTTACGTTTATGGAGCGCCGTCTTTTCCCAAAAGTTTCAAATTTGCAAGAAAACAATATCCAAATAATTGCGTTTACGTTGTTTTACGTTCTGCGTTCATGGAGACATGGAGCGCGTGGAAAGTTTTGAGATCACTCAAGAAGCTACACTTGCTCTCGGCGACGCCTCAAGCAACTTCTCTGTCGCTATCTAAACTTCCCGTATATCGGCCATGATCGCAAGCCAACGTATAAACCAATTGTTAATTCAAAGTGACAGTATGGTTAACTAGTGGATACCCTGTATAGAACATGGAGATATCAGATGTTGGAAGAAAATATCATGAAAAGAAATTGATTGAATCAACGGTTTTTTATATCTCTGCTTCAATAAGCTTGTGGAGTGATGGTCTTAAATCTGTTCATGGACGCACCATGTCTTGAGGTTGCGACGTTTGAGAGTCGTGTGGCCGAACTAAAACCGTGTGTACCTGATCTAGAAATGTATACAAGCGAGCAGCTTCAGACTCATGCGGTCACAGCTGCTTGGGTTAATCAATCAAAATCTTTGTTTCACTACACAGAGTGGGTTGACTAATCTCACGTTATGACTATATTTGGTCATGGATGATTGACATCAGGTTCATTGGCCTGACAATTATGGGTGGGTGGAACTGTAGGCACACATTTTTATCGCAGTATTTGTTTGTTATTATAACGCGATATGAGTTAAGTGCAAGTAGGAATACCACTGCCGCCACGGTACACCCATCAAAGACATAATTTCCGGTTAGGAATTTGTCAGTTAAGAGACCTTGAATGACCTTCATAACGACAATGTTCAGGTGGCTTTTATATTAAAGGGTCACGTGACAGACTCTGTGTCAAAGTGTACATGAATTCGCCAGATCAAGGAATCTAAAAAGAACTGTAAATAACAGAGCTGCCACTTGTTACGCCCTCATGTAAAGTATCGTTTAAAAGTTATGCTGGTCAGAATTCCAAGGTTATCCAGGGCATCGTTTAAAACATTTGCAGAGAGAGCTTGCAAAATTGGAAGTAAAGCCCAGTTCTGATAACTCGAACGCTTGCTTGTGGGATTTTGTTATTCGTGTATACCGTAGGGTATACCCACAGATGCTTTTAGAAGATAACAGCACAAATCTGAAATATGTTGAAAGACCAAATTTTGTTTTTCTAACACAGATTTCAGTTGTCTTTGTGAGTGACATCTTCTTTCTTTATTACATCTAGGAATTTTCTAACGTTAACGTTGGAAGCATTTTTTTGAGAGTGTAGATTTATTTCAAGCCTACGAAATTTACTGTTCAAAGCAGGTAAAGCGTCCTCTTATATCCAACGTTCTGACATTTTTTTTTCATTTATAAGACCACTGCATCTGCATTGCTGGAATCCCTTTAGGAGAAAACGGAGCTGCTAAGAATATTCCTTAATGTGAGTGGTAACTTGACCTTCGCAGAGAAAAATTTCAATATTTCACGAGTACTTTACTATTTTTACAGTACATTTAGCCTGGAATCGATTCGTCTCTCACATTTTCAGACATCTACATAATTCTCTGCAATGTCACACTCTGTTCTGATGAGTGTTTTAGCATCTTAGATCACGCTTCCACGACTTTTCAACTTAAAATAAAAGAAGTTATCCGCATTCAATGGGAGAAACCCACACTTAATCATCAACTTTATCATGTTAATTTAAAACTTTCCTCGTAAATGCATACATTGTTCTTGTTCTGTTACTATTTTTTTTTTGTCCAATCAGCATTTTGTTACATTCTTTAAATTCAACACTTTGTATTATTCAGAACTGAAGATGACAGAAGAACTGTCGAAACATGTTTTTAAAGAGTTGAATGTCCTTTATAAAACAATTAAAGCTAATCTTAACGTCAAGTGCACTTCTTTACCGCAGACAAAACAAACCATATCACTAGTTTCAATGTTTCTGTTGAATTTATCATAAATTTGCCTCAAAATCCTAACCACTTCTTATAGTATTTCCGAAATTGTGGGAAGCAAATACACGGTCGATAGTGTTAGATTTTAAAGGGGAACGAAACATGACAATCAGAAGAACAATCATACAATGGAATGAATCATGAACAAGCTGTTCACCCTAAAACAATAATTTCTGGTTACCATGTATCTGCGGCAAGTGAACATCATCGGAAAAACCAAGAGAACTTCATTGCATTTACTCTCACTCGTCTTCAATGCTTCACAATACTTGGAAATGAAAGTCCAACGTAAATTGTAAATGTTCATCAAAATTACAGTTTCAAGGCTACTATTTTCATACTAATAAGGTCAAAACATTACATTAGCTGACAAAAAATAATACCTTACTGAAGAGTTCAGAATAACGTTGGGTTGCATTTAGGGAGAAAACTATGCGCTGTCAAGCTCACCACGCGAAAGGCACCAAGTACTGTCGATCTGCCTTTCTTTCTAATACACAATCAATTCTACTAACATCCAATTTTACCCCGCTCTGTGGAACTCTGGTCAATTTCTTCGACTCTTACAATTGGATTCTCTATGATTACTTTTTACTGACCTCTCGCTGGATTGTGCTTGTGTTTTTTTCCTCAAAATTACAGTTTCAAGGCTGCTGTTTTCATACTAATTATGTTGCGAACATTACATTAGCTGAGCAAAAAACCACGTTACTGAAGAGTTCAGAATAATGTTGGGTCGCACTTAGAGATAAAACTATGCGCTGTGAAGCCCACCATACTCAGCGAAAGGCACGAAGTAGTCTCGATCTGCCTTTCTCGGTTCTCTAATACAGAATCAATTCTACTTACATCCAATTTTACCCCACTCTGTGGAACTCTGGTTAATTTGTTGGACCTCTCCCTGATTTGTGCTGCGCATGCTTTTAAATGAACCATGAAGTACATGCTTATATAGTCACTATAGATAGGCATGGACGGGCATGTCACTCAACTGGCCTTGAATGGTTAATTTAGACCACGACGTCTACAAAGTAGACTCAAGCATGGCGAATCTATTACGCGGGTCGCTTAAACGCAAAGAATTCTGATATTTTTACGCTCATAAATGGTATATTAAGTTTTTCTTTATAAAAAATGTTAGATAAAAATATTAGATAATACTCCAAGATCAGATTTAAAAATACTTAAAAGTACATTTTTGCTATTACCATCATTTTTTCTAGTTTCAGAATACGCTGCCTCTAAATGCCTGCAACCAGGTACGTTCTAAAATAGACGAAGTGTTTGGCAGTCAGAAATTTTTACAGAATTTCCACCGAAAGGTTCTTTCAAACTTCTTAAGATTATCAGATGTTTATTTCGAAATGCCAAAGGTTAATTTGGCTTTTAGTGGACAAATTCCCCGTGCCGTGCAGCCTTTAATATCGCTCAGTTGTCGACACTTTGTACGCTTCTAATCAGATTGCCGTGAACGGACCAAATGCCCGGCGGTCAGAATTTTTCAAAGTGCCACTAAATCTTTCCATTCTCCATTCTCCATTGATCAAAATGTTAGATAAAAATAGTACAGAATACTTGGCGATAAGATTTTAAAATACTCAAAAGTACATTTTGGCTAAAACTATTATTTGTTTTAGTTTAAGAGCAAGTTATAAAACCGTTATTTCCTTAGAGCTTTTTCTAGTAAAAATTCGATTTTTTTTGCACTTATGGAGCGCCGTCTTTTCCCAGAAGTTTTAAATTGCAAGAAAACAATATCTAAAAAACTGCGTGACGTTGTTTTAAAGCAATTGGTTCATACGTGCGTTCATGGAGACATGGAGTGCGTGGGAGGTTTTGAAACGACGCCTCGAGCAACTTCTCTGTCGCTGTTTAAACTTCCCGTATATGAGCCCATGAGCCCACGCTAAAGTATGAACCAATTTTTAATTCAAAGTGACAGTATGGTTAACTAGTGGATACCCTGTAGAGAACATGGAGATATCAGATGTTGGAAGAAAATATCATGAAAAGGAATTGTTTGAACCAACTTATATCTCTGCTTCAATAAGCTTGTGGAGTGATGGTCTTAAATCTGTTCATGGACGCACAGCTCTCTTGAGATTGCGACGTTTGAGAGTC